CTTGATGTACAGCAAGTGCACTGAAGAAGTGAATTTCAGCTTTATTTAATTTGAACTAATTTAATTTAAATTTTAAAAACTCTGATACCCAGCCCACTATTGGGAAGCATTTAATTATGTTCATGACTACGCGGGCTTGTCGATTTACATTTCCAACTGCAACTTTTAGGAAATCTAAACACAGATCATGTCTTCCCTGTGAAAACACAGCACCCAGACTGACTTGTGCTAGAAGTGTCAACTACACATTGATTTCTAAGACAGCACAGTGAAAATGAAAGCAAGCTGCATCCATAAATTTTTTATAAGTATCACATGTTAAAGTGATCACAACTTGTCTAGATTGGGTTAAAAAAAAACACACCATCAGAAGTTAATTTGCTTTTTTCATCTACTTCTTAAGCACATAACTATTAGGAATGTTTCAGTTACAGATGGGGCTGTGGTGGCTTGGTGTTGGGGTGCTGGAGGAGCTGGTGCTCGCACGGCTGTTACAGCCGATGCATCTGGCCAAACCAAGACTCCGTGACTCATGGTAAGAATTTCTCCCCATGTCTCCTGCCTCACGGCCCTGAGTGTATGGAGCCAGTCAGTGGCCAAGAGAAAGCAGCAGATCCTGAAGCCTACTAAGGTCACCTCAGACCAGGCAGCTAACTTCTGCACAAATGCATTTAAAACGCCTCATTTGTACTCATAAAGATGCTGCATTCCAGACAAGTGAAATTCTTTCTCTGGATTAGTAAACATTATTGATAATGAAAAGACCAAAGGGTAAGGGTCAAATACTCATTGCACAAAGTAGATTAACATTTTATCTCGAAATAAATTACTGATATTTCTGGGGGGAAAACTCTCCAAAGCTACTAGTATTTATTTAGACGACTACTTTTATGCTTAATAGTCTTTGTAAAAATTATCTTATCCTTATTAGAATTGAATTTGCTAGCAACTCGCCTGCTCAGGAGAGAGCAGGGGTACCTGTTATAGCACCAAGGAGGCTTGGAAACGGCCCTTGGCCTAGAAAGTGAGGCAACACCGCCACCTAGCGGTATTTTTGCCTGATTGTCCACAGTGGGCCAGGCCATTAGCTCTGCCCAAGCCTCCTGGCCAATACTGACGCTGTAACGTGAAAGTGCGAACTAGCAGCGGCAGCCGGAAGAAAGTAACTAGGGGAGAGAACGTGCGCAGATTTAGAAAGCTACCTTACCACTACAAAACATTTTAAATTTAATTACAGATGTTTGGAAAACTCCTACGGTTCGTGCAGGCGTGGTCTTAAATGGAAGGTACACTTAACTAAGATTTGTAAAATGACACCATGGGAAATGTTAGGCGCTCACACTTACACTATTAAGATCTATCTCTACAGAAAAGCGCCGAGTGTTAATCACTGCATCAAATCTTTCACTGGGATTGCTAAGATCCGTTACCTGTATGTGGTAATGAAATATGTTTAAGGAAACAGGGAGTGAGTTAAAACTGTGGTGCCCACAGGGAACCAGACATTGCCCTCAGTCTCATTTAACCCATGATGACCTCTTTCTAGGCTGAAGCTTATTATTATTTTGCAGACAAGAAAACTAAGGTGCACAACCATCACATAAGCTTTCTGTTATAGTTTAGATCTCAAATGGCCCCCAAACGCTCATGTGTTTGGAAGATGATTGGGTTAGAGGCTAGTTTCGCTGGCTTGCTGCTGTGAGTGGGGTCTAGTTCGAGGAGACCGGTTACGGCTTTGCTCTCTGCTCCATCAGCCGTGAAATGAGCAGCGTTTCCTCTGCGTGTGCACCTCTGCCTTGCTGTTTCTCCTTTGGAGCCAGCAGATCACGGACTGGTACTTCAGCCAAAAAAAAATTTAAATTGTGGGTTGTCGGGTGTTTTGTCCCAGAAAATAGGAAAATATCTAAGACGTCTGTCCTAGGACAAATAGCTGGCAAGTGTCGATCCATGAACTCAACCTTGGTTCGTCTCACAGTAAAGCACTTTCTCTGGTAAAATATTAATTATCTGAGTGTAACTTAGTAAAAGAGAGGGTGCTTAGCATGGACGAGGTCCCAAGTTCAATCTTTTGCCCTGAGATAATAATAATAAGTCGTAATACTAATAATGATAAGAATTATTATATTATAGGTTTTAGTGACGGAAACTACATATGGAGTCTGAAGTATGCACCTACTCGAAAATTTGCATACAGTAATTAATTCAATTATGTTTTCCACCAATGACAGCACAAACTGGCTACTACTTTCTTCTCACCGAGGAGCGGTCTAAATGGGCCCACTAAAATGGGTCAGATGATCACACGTCTATTCAACAGCATCTTCCCGCCCGTACACTGGTCTGCCCTGTGAAATCCTTCTCTTGGTGATACTCCTCCAACAGTCTTCTATTCTGTTACTGACTTCTCATCGTGGTCTTTGTGAACCTGTTTCATTTCCTTCGAATGTGACCAATTAATCCCCCCAGGGATACAGTCAAAGATAATGTCCTTCTGATATGGTTCTTGAAAGCTGAACAAAAATTGAATTGATAAAAAGGATCAAATGTGGTTGAAGCACTGGAAAGTCTCTCCTTTTTTTTTAGTCTCCTTTGTCCATAGGCACAGAGTCTTACCTAAACCCCTGTCAGATTATAGAGATGCTGGTCATGTTTGCACGAACGCTTGTTCATTTTGTCATTTTCAACCAAACTTGGATTTCCTCACTGCAGAAGAACTGGAATTTGTATGATCATTGAGTTGCATACAGGGGCTCATTAAAGGTGCTTTGCAAATACATTATGAAAGCCTGGCTTAGAAGAGGGCATTAAGAAATAGAGGGTTAAATTAGGAGACATATACTGAAATGTCCAGAAGAGCGTAGGTATTTGTAGATAAATAAGCTCTTTAAACATCCCTGAATTAACTGAAACTCAGGTATGTTTTTAAAGGTGAATTTGGTTTTACTTTTCAGAATTAATCCACATCCTTTTTATGTCTTCCATGCATAAGAGAAAGCAGCAGGATATTTCCACATATAAAAATAACAAGAAATAAATCCACTGGAAGCATAGAGCACAACTGGAATATGATTTCTTTAAAGAAAAGGGCTGACTAACCAAAGGAAATCTATAGATACGTTTACAAAGGTAGAAAGATATGTATTGCATAATGGCTGATTTTTAAAATATTTTGCATACACCTGAAATTTCCAAAAAAGATACCTCACTGGTTTAGATGAGACTAATAATTTACTGATATATTCATATATACTTTTGGTCCTCTTCTGAATTGGATCTTGATGGATAGGTGTAATTTGAGTGCACATAGTCTGGGATATTCATTTAACAGCCTCAGTGAGAAACCCTAATGTTCTAGTAAGCTGTTGTGTCATTTTTCACATAAGGATTTATTTAACAACCAAGTTAAGATAAAGAACTAAAAAGTGTGTCCCTTCAAGAACTGTAATTCTGCCCTCTCCTAATGGACATGGTGCTTTTAGAGACAAACTGATTTTTTGAATTTTTTAGGAGGCAAATGATTAAAAACATCAGGAAAATTCATTCACGCCCCCCACCATTTGATCATTGGGTGGGCAGTTGAAGTGGCAGTATTTTATTTTCCAATTGTTTCCTACTAGCATATAGGACGGTAACTAATTTTAAATAACCTGTGTGACTACATCCATAGTGATTTCTAGTGGGTTTGTTTTTTACATTTTTGTTCTATTTTGCTTTAGATTACATGGGAATTTCTATGTACCCATCTTATCTTCAAATAGGAACAATTGCATTTTTCCTTTTACTGACTATAAGCTTTTTCTTTGTTTTAAACTGCAATAATTTCTAATATTTTCAGTGGAATGTTGAATTGAAGGAATTTGTCTTCCAAAAGAGGAAGAAAAGACTTAGCTGTCTTGTCCCTAAAATCAGAGGGATATAGTTGTCTGTCACTTTCAGTTTTGCACTGAACTTTCATCTATGCCTTCCAAAAGTCGTCGTCCTACTATTATTAGTTTGCATAAATAGAATGTTTAAAATGATCTTTTTGTGCCTCTTTATAGGATTTTTTCTCTTTATACTATTAATAAAATAAATTATATCAATTCACTTTAAAATAAATTTAAACCAACTATACATTGCTGGCTTAAATAGCATGTGATCATGATATATTTCAACATAGTTAGGTTCTATTGGCAAATACTTCCTTTTTGTTAGACTTATGTAGGATATGTGACTGTAATTGTCTTTCTCCCCCACCCCTTTTTTATTGTGTGTCATTTGGTGTTAGGGAAACAAGTCTAAAAACTAGTAGAACAATGATTGCTTTCCCTGTATTTTATATATTTCAGTCTTACCTTTCTATCCTTGAATGTTAGGTAATATTTGCCAGAGGTAACAAATTGTCCTAGACTCATCTTGTTGGGATAGTTTTGGTAAGAAATTCAACTTCCTCAATAAATGTTTTTTAAAAGTCCCTCTCATGTTCTTTTTAATGCTACATTTTTCAATATAACATCTTCTTATTGGTCAAAAGAGCCCGTGTAAAATGGTTGATGTAGTTTTCACCCTCTTTTTTACTCATAGCATTTGTTGAGATAATACCTTTCTCACTCCTGGCATTTATCACTTGAGTTCTCTCCATGTTGTGATCAGTACAGTTTGACAATTTCACTAGTATTTTCCTGCTGATTTGTTAATTCTTCGTCATTTTCTTTTTCACTGATTCATCCTCTTAATTATTTATTTTCTTCTATCTATGGGGCTTTCTGATTTATTTTATTTTTCCCTCTTGCTGATTCACAAATTATGTATTTTATGCACTTCTTTCATTGTAATAATTATACAGTCTTGGAGCTCAAAGCTTTCTGTTTAATTTCCCATACAATATTATTTTGGAAGTACTTACAAATATGTTCTTAATTTCCAGATACTTAGGACTTTTCCAATACTGTGTTGTGATTTAAGCTGTACTTGATTCCACTGTGTCAAAGAGTGCACTTTGTTCGACTCTGGCATTGTTTTAGGGATGCACCTTTCTTGGAGGTACTGCAATTCCAAGTCTATAGGTGAAGTGGACAGAGCAATTTCATCTCCCAGAGCCCAAAATCCATTTAATAGATTGCCCTGGGCAGAGGAAGCATCAGATAGTAAACTCTAAGAATAGGTACTACATTTGATTTTTAACCAAAAGGCAAAGAAGCTATTGCATGATTTTGGTTTTTAAAGAAGTTTGGCCCTTGTTTTATGGCCTGTCATAGAAACTATCATGGGAAATATACCGTGAACACTTTAAAAGAATGAGCATCCTGCATGGCTTGGACTGTGAATTTTAATTAGCTCGAGACAATTTGTTCGCCTCAGATCTTAAGCGTCATTGCTGATTTCTGCTTACCATTGCATCAGTCATTGACAGAGGGAATTACAAGCAATTATGACAGTTGTGGACTCCTGTGTTTCTCCCTCTAACCCTGTGTACTTTGCTTTATTTAATTTGGTCCTGTGTAGTAGGTGCATAGAGAAGTGTACCAGTTATGTGCTCCTCGTTGTTCTTTTTCTCAATGTGACATTCTCTTCTTCACCTCTGTAAATTCTTTTCTCAACCTCAGTAATATCTGTATTAAAAAACAGCCATGCTGAATATTGTTGGGCCTCGCTCTGCACGGTTATGGTTTCACATCGTAAGTTTCATTTGCTCTCTGTTTTAGTAAATTAAGTACCCTTTGTTAGCAGGTGATAGTATTATGTTTTTGATTTTGTTTTGTTTTACTTTCTTGATCTGTGCTTTTTCTTTAGAGTATTTAAACAATTAAAACCTAATACATTGCATAAAATAATTACTGATATGGTTGAATTTTAGTCTATCACTTTACTGTTTTCAATTTCCCTCAAATTTGACTCTTTTATGCATCTGTACTTTTTGTATTGGATTCTTGGAGTCAGTTTTGGTGTTCCATTTTAATTTTTTTATTGCCATTTTCGTTGTCTTTTTTTGTTGTTGTTGTGCTATGTATGTTTATCCTTTCACAGTGTACTCAGAGACAGTATTTTACCACTTCATATAAAATGTGGAAAAATGGCAAGACAAAATATTTTGTATCCCTCTAATAGGCATTGATATTTGCTTTACCCTTGTGATATGCGCTCTATCTACATACACTCAAAGCCTGCTGCAAAATGGAATGCTATCTTTAAATCCTATACATGTTTTAAATGGGTGAACAGATAGCATATTACTTATAACATTTACTTAGATGTTTGTCTTCTCTCCTGATATTTATTTTCAAAGATATGTGCTGCCCTCTGGCATGTTTCCCTTCTCATTCAACACCTTGTAGAACATTTTATTCCACCTTCACACGTTCTTACTTATTCTTTATCTGAGATTTTTTTTACTTTAATTCTGAAGAATATTCTGGATACAACAGTCTGGTGTGGCATAGCTTGCTTTGATTATTTGTAAGATTTTTGTTGTTGTTGTTATTGTTCTGGCCTTTGAGTTTCCTGACAGGCTTCTACAGTTGTTCAAGTCAGTGATTTCTATATGCAAATTGCTATCTGTTGCAACTGCTTTCAAGATTTTGTCCTCATTTTTAATTTTTAGCATTTTAATATGATGTGTCTAGAAATGGTTAATTTTGAGGTACTCTGTGAGAGGTTCGTCAAAGTTCTGAAAACCCTGGAGACAAAACTTTGAGTGGATTTGGAAATAAATCTGCAATTATTTTTCAATAGTTTTAAATATACTAACAAGACATTTCCTCTCTATTATTATTATTTTAATAGGATGAATATTAGGCATTTTGAAAATTTCCCACAAGCCCCTCAGCCTGATCTTTTTTAATTTTTTTGACATTTTTTTCTCTGTTATTCACAGTGGATAATATTTGTTGATTCATTTTCAGATCGATTTCATGTTCTATTACTCATTCTCCTACTAAATCCAAAAAGTTCATTTTTATTTAAGATTGTGTATCTTTTTCCCTTCAAACCTTTTACTCTGTTCTTCTTACTAAATTTTATTTCTGATTTAAGATCTTCTCCCTTTGCATTTCATATGAATGTGTACTTCTTTACTTTATAGAGAACAGTTAGTATAACCGATTTAAAGTCTTTTTAGTTTTTGCAATTTCAATACCTGATCATTTTGGGGTTAGTATCTGTTGACTGCTTTTTCACTGAAGAATCTTATTTTTTCTGTATTAAGTAATTTTAAATTTTAAGGCCACAAATACTACATTCCTCTTGGGAAGTGGGTACCTATAGATGAGACATCTTAAATCTCTTTTCACCCCCTCACCCCAACCTCACTCATTCTCTCTGTATTCTTCCTTTTTCAAAAGATTTGCCTTCCTTATTTTACTTTGCTTTCTATCATGGGCTCTTCATATAAGAGAAACCATGTAATGCTTAACCTTGTGAATCTCATTTATTTTATCTAACATTATGAGCTCAAGGTAAAAAAAAAGAATCTCGAACTCAAAAAATTGTTGATATAGTGAGTGCAATTTTGTGTAACTACTATATCCTGTTATAATCCTATGCAGAATACTGATGTTTCTCTCTTTTAAAAGATCAACACATAGGTTCAGATCCCAAATTCCAATTCATCATCTTGCTGTAATGCCACACATCTTGGGCAGGTTTCTGCAAGTTTGAGTTTGACTTGTGTGTTTGAATACAGAAGACAGTCTGACACGTAAGTCCTTGTGTTGGTAACAGTGATGATCCCTAAGCCCTTGGTTCACTGGTTTAGTTCTTCTCTACACTTTTATACTTGTGAGGTTCATTTGAGAGTGGGCAGTGGTTCAATTTTCCAAATCTGAGTTACAACTCTTTTGGATCTCTTTCACATATGCATCCGTAGGAGACGAGGTGAGGCTCAAATATTTGCACAGTTTTAGCAGACCCATTTCTCTGGCTGCAAATAATCTCCAGTTATTCCCCACAGCAGCCAGTCTCCATGACCCATTTTTGTGTTTTCTTCCCCCTGGCCACATATGGAGGTTCCTTTCTAGCTTTAGCCAGCATAGCTACTACCATCTCATCAACTGAGGCTGAACTGTGGGGCAAAGCTTACAAAATAAAGAAGGAATAAAAAAGGAAAAAAATTAGAACTGCACACTAAGAAGGCCTCTTGTGCACATTTTGAATTTTCTCTGACATTCACTTTTTTCTTCCTTTATATAGAACAAAGATACATTTTTTATCTTTTTTTTTAATCTTTCTGTTGTATTACAATACCAATATAACCAGATAGTAAAACCTTGGTTTGTGAGAATAATTCATTCCACCAGTAATCCAAAAATAGTTGTACATTGAAGAGAGGGAGAGAGAGAGACAGAGAGAGGAGAGAGAGAACAGCTGTGATCATGTGCCATGTGCCATTTGGCATATGCATTTTGGTTTATAAACTGACAGCACTGCTGTAGAAAGTGGGAAAATGAAGCAGTGCATTAATAAAAGGCCTTCTAGTGAATATTTCAATTTGGATTATCCTACTTGTTGACATTGTATATTTGTGAAAACAAAGTCCCAGCTTTGCCTTACTTCCCGCTGTGCAATTCAAACTTACTTTTAGAGAAAAGAAACAAAGAAAAATATTTCCCCAAAACATAAATGTATTCAGGAAAAGGATGAGCATTTCCTATGACGTAGACAATTACTCTTTGGGACACAATTTTAACTAGAGAGTGTTCTGTAAATTGTACCACAGTTGCTTCTCCTGTAGACCTTAGCTCATTTCCTTCTTTGGTCGTAACACGTGTGTATGTGTGTTTGTGTGTGTGTACAGCTTGTGTACTTGAGTGAGTTTTCAGATACTTTCAAAAAGATGTGATAAACATAAGGTAGCTCCTTTTGTCAATTTTTGTCATTAAAATGTTTTTTGAGCCTGCTAAAAGCAATATTCCGACTAATTAAAATTTTAATAAATAACAGCAATATATTTAAAAAGTCAATAACCATAATATATTAAAAGTCAAATTATAATTCAAGGAATTTAATAAATTAGGACATACTAAACAGTAAACTCTTTAGTAAATTATGCAGGAATATTTCTGAATTGCTTACTATAATTTAGACAATGCCAGAGATTAAAGTACACTGTGTAATTTAGTTTGTAGTTTGAGGGCATAACAGAGAGAAGAAAAACACAGCTTATATTACTTTCAGCTTAATATGGTATTTGCTTTACTTCATAATTATGTGTAAACATATTTATTTATTTATTTATTATTACTTTTTTCTATTAGGTTTGGACTTAATGCATTGTATTTGAAAATAAATATATTGTATTTGAGTATATTATATAATATATAATATATTGTATAATATATAATATATTGCATATATTGTATAATATATTATATTTGAAACAGAAGTGAAAATCAAAATTTCACTTGGAAGTACATCTGCTTTCCCACAGCTCTTATCTATGTCTCAAGACTGTTTATAGTATTATTTCTACTTGTGCATTTATTTTAAAATTATGTCTTTAAAGCTTTTGTATCAAAGGGCAATGCTAGTTGCTGGTAAAACAATTAGAAATAATGTATCATTAATGTGTGTGTGTGTGTGTGTGTGTGTGTGTGTGTTTGTGCTTGTGTGTGGAGGTGGGTGTCTTAAGAGGGCAAAATAAGACACAATCGGGAAAGTGCTTTAATAGAGATGCTTAAGCATTTGACAGTTCTCCTTCGAGTATGGAGCAAAATGTCAGGAACACGGAAATATATTCTCCGTCTGCTAAAAGGAACCAAGTTGATGCTGGGAACCATGTAGCAGTTTAAGCATATTAATTCAGAGGAAGAAGCACAGAGATGCTGATTAAACAGTTTCCACAAGAAAATATGTTTTATATTTCTTCAACCTGACTTGGTATTAAGTTAAGATGTAAGCATCAACCCAATTTTTCAGTCCATCTGCAATCCAATATAGATGTTCATGCACGGTTGAATCGCAATTACTCTGATGCACCTTCAGAGCTGAGATACGTGTTAACCCCGTGTTCTAATTTACCAAGTATTAGCATTTCTCTACCAGTGATAGCGGTGTTTTTCCCTTAGTTGGGGCCTGTGTACTCCAATGTCAGCTTCACCCTTCCCCTTTCTTAAGGTACAATGAATGCAATCTGAACACTCGGGACACAATATGTGGATTTCTCAAAGCTTTTTAAAAAAATATTACAGCTGCCTCTACATGATGAGTA